ATGTGAACGATAATGGATGCTTCTTGATCAAGGCCACTCATATTGGGTCAGAGACTGCACTTTCACAACTAGTTCACATATTTGAGGCTGCTCAACTAGCAAGAGCTATTGTACAGAAACTTGCTGATCGGATATCAAGGTTTTTTGTACCTGCGGTGAGTTGTTTGCATTTGCATTACATTCATGCTACCAGCCATGGTCATAAAGTGGATTTTGGTTGTTTTATTTAGTGTATGTTGAGTTCAGTACCAAGTTTTGACATTATACCATTGCCTGGCCTATCCTTTTAACAAAATTTATGCAAGACGTGTGCAATCTCTGAACTCCATTCATATGTGATTGTTTTGACCGGAAAGTCATCACTTGCAACACTTAATTATGGTATTTATGAGTTGCTTGAACTTTTTCTGTATATACTTCGTGTTTGACCTTGGCCTAGAAAAAATTAGTAGCCTATAACCACTTGAAGCATCGAAAAGTTAACATATGAAATGGAAGGCTACTGACATGAATTACGTGCAAAATGGTAAATGACATTCCTTTTATTTTATTAGAATTTGCAACTACATGTGGTCTGCTAGTATTACAAGGGTACTGGGTTTTATGTACGTGTTTTGGGTAGTGGTGGTCATTCTTAAGTCTAGATGGAAGGTTAAAACTTGATTTTGTATAACATGTTTGTATTGTATATGAAGATTCAAACGTAGTATGATCTTAGTATGATGCCCACACAAGGATATAATAATTTGATATATTGTTAAAGGACCATAACATCTATGTAACGTAGTTATAACAATGAAGTCACTAACAAATAGTAGGAACTTCTATATGAAGCAAATAATAGAATTCAAACTTAATTTGTTCAACCAAAAAATAATAAAGAAAGAAAAGAACCTTCAAAACCTTTAAGTTCATAATAAGCCAATATTTATGTCAAGTAGTTGCATATCGTATAAAAAATGCGTCGATCCCCTCAAATTAAAAACACTATTTGAGGTTGACGTCAACAAATTATAACGAAACCAAAACAATCCTAAATACTTGAATTGCAACTAACCTATCAATTCTGGGCAGTTACGTGAGTCATAACCACTACGTTGCCCACAAGTTGCACATTTTCGTTTTGCTTTTTTGCTATTATTTTGCATTTTCTCAACTACACTTACCAGTCTCTTACCAGTGCCACATCCCTTGTTCCTAATTCCAGCTGGTGGTAGAATATCCACCTCATCAGGTATGGAAACACCTTGGTGATCTCTAATTGCATCCAACTTCTATTGAGATGGGTCTTCATATGGGACTTCCTTCTCTATATCAACCATGAATCTGTGGAGATACCGTTCCAATCTAGACAATATAGTCTTATCATTCCGGGCGATGCTTATGATGTCGTCGACCTTGGAATATACATAAACTATACACTTATCTTTTTCCGCGTCAACCTCATCGTAACGAACCCTTGCCGATTGTATCTGCACTGGGACTAAATGCCGTCTCCATCGCCGTAACACATATCTATCCGGGATGAACTCGACTTCATCATTAATCAGTACCTTGAACGCGTGACGACAAAGATATCCGTTGCACGTGAATAGGTTGCACTCGCACTCGACGGTGTCCGTTGAGTAATTACGGTTCACCTAGATTGAAAAAGGGTTGCAAACACCCACAGTCAAAATATAAAGTTAATAAACCAAAAAAACATTGTTGTGGGGATTAGGGATATGATACCAGATAGGAAATGTTGTCAAATGATTTATTGGTCTTGTGGCTTATCACGAATGACTTCAAGTGATCCCGGCATTCAACTGTCTCTATAGTACGAACCAGACAGCCTTCTTTATTTCCTTTTGCACGTCAAAAAACACATTCCGACTGTATATGCTTGATGCATTACTTTCTAAATGCAGCGGGGTTACAAATTTAGGGTTAGTGGTTCTCGTTACGGTTTCGTGAACATATTGTCGGTATCTTTGTTTCTCAATAGCTACGTCGTAATTGTTAAGGAATTGAACCAAATCAAACCAGTACGATTCATATATATTAATATACGAATTCGAACTCTCGGATCTTGAGGTTGTTTTCATTAACCCAGACATTGGCGTGTCCTTGTAAAAGGCTGGAATCCATRAGYGCCGAATGGCATACATCTCTGTGAACCAAGGATCTCCCCCCAGATTGTATTCATCGATCATCTCATGCCAACGACTTTCGAACTCCGCTGGTCCAATATGTATGTTCCATACGAGCTTGTTTATAACTTTGTTAAACGTAGGATTTTGATTTAGTGCGACACTGACMTGCGTATATATGTCGACCACTAATGAAAAAATAAAAAATTAATATTCGTTTAAAAACGCATATCATTACGTACATACTACGTACCTTTGAAGGCACCTTCTTCATAATGTGCCACATACAGAGTATGTGCTTGGCTTCCGTAAACACCATCGGTATAACTTGCTTTATTGCAGAACATTGGTCGGTAATGACGAACACTGGTTGCTTCTCATGACATTTTAGGAAAGCGTTGAGAACCCATGTAAAGTTATCGAKTGTCTCGCCACTGATAAGAGCAGATCCGACCACAACGGAAGCCTTGTGGTTGTCAACGGCCAAAAAAGGCACGAAAATCATGGCATGCCTGAAACACATATCAACAAATTAGTTGTGTATATTTCTTCCCACAACATGTGTCGATAAAAAATACGGACATGTAATAATATTTAAAGACTTCCAATCAATCAGGAGTATTACTTGTTTGTGCGAAACGTTCCATCGAACGATATGACATCCCCGAATTCTTTGTAGTTAATCCTAGCAACTTCATCTGCCCAGAAAATTGCGATCAACTCCTGTTCATTACACTTGTATTCGAAGAAATAACCTGGGACAACTTCACGTCTATTTGATAGTTTATTGATCAACATCTTTGCATCCTTGTTCCCAACACAAGCAACATCATCCCTCTTAAAATTCTTGAAATCAACTTTTGAAACTCGAGTATGCTCAAATCCTTCGTTCAATGCCGTTTGAATAAGATGTGCCCTTCTCGCTCCGACTTTGTAGCTCGAGCTGTTGAGCACATTTTTTAAATCCGTGTACTTCATCTTTCTATTCTTCCTAGAGAAACGACGATCGTTGATGTTGAACAACTCATGGTTATGTGCCTCAACAAACTCGTATATCTCGTAACAAGACCCATCCTTCGTCAAGTGGATTTTTAAACATGCATTACATCCACAACGTTTAAGGTTCGTATTGCGATATCTCCTTTCACCGCGCTAAATTTCCAGAGAATCAAATTGTCTTTTCTTTGTGTTTCCCTCCCTACTACACACAAACCATCTATTTTGAATGTCTCTGTGCTTGTTTGTTTTTTTTGCATGTAATCGAACATCAAACCTAGCCTTGTCAGCGTAAGCTCTATACATCTTTTCAGCATCATTTATAGATGCATAGCGTGCACTCGTCATTGGCTTGAGCTCGTCATCCGCAATAGGGATAAAATACTTGCTTCCTTCTGAACTCTCGCGTATGTCATAGCCAGCTTCGAGTTGTAAAGGGGTGATATCATCAAGACCTGATGATTAACATGAAGTTAATACTCAGAAATGAAACTTATATTAACAAAAATAGATAATTACAAAGATCGTCATGTACGTGTATTAACTGTACTTGAAAGTTTAGGGATGAATGTGGTTTGTTTGCCATGCGTAACATGAAACTGTAATGTACGTTTGTTCACATTAGATTGTTCATATAGTTTATATGTTTTCACACGGATGTTTGCGTGTATGTACACCGTGTGAACCTAATTGTTGATCCTCTCTCTCAGTGATTTAATGATAATCCCTTTTTTCTTTCGATGTATTTTAGTTTCTGTATTTTCAGTTCCATCGATCAATACACTGAGCATGTTCAGTGATCGYTGAAGAACTTGTTTTGTAAATCATTCAGAGACAACGATACTTCAAGAAAACAACACTCACACCAAAGATCCTTCAACAAACGTCGAAGACTGAAACTGAAGATTAGARACTGGCGCGTACGTGATCTGAAACGGTATTCAGTGATTACAAGCCTGTCTAGCTATGTGTGAAGACTGCTCTAGCTTCAGCGAATGATGATGAGATCTTCAGGTCATCCCAGCATTCAGCGATCAAAGGAAGCTTGCCTAGCACGATTGTTGTTGTTTTGTCCTTGCACACACAAAAGGACAAACCCATACCTTTACCAAAGATAGTACGGTACGGAGCCGATTAGTCGACTCTTTGTCCACCATCTTTAGGTAAGGATGTCTGTTCAAGAATAGTGCTTTTGT